GATCACTGAATTCCATTTTGCTGTTTCAGGATCTATCATCAACCACCTCCACCTCCTGTTTCACAGGTGAAAAAACACTTAAGGAGCTTAGAAAGACCATCCTGGCAAAACTTTTTTTCAACTGTTCTACAGTCATAAACACAGACTAGACTTAGAAAATGAATCAAAACTATTTTTCTCTCAGTTGCCTCTCAGGGCTTCTGTACACAACACAGTAAATGTTTTCACAGCATAGGTACAGTATATGTAGTAGTTTCTCAACAGTAACAAAGTCGTTCCTGTCTGTTTAGCCACAGATCCACATTGACCTCGCACCTAATGCTCTCCTTGCAACGGGGGAAGAATCACTGTGTATCCTGCAACCATCCTCTGCACACTTCTGCTGTTATGTCATCACAAGCAGCATCCACTGCAGCAAGCAAAGACATCTGATTCTATGGTTAATTATCGTATACTTTCCACCTCCATGCAGAAAAGAATTCCTCAATAGGATTTAAGATTGGAGAGTATGGTGGAGGGAACTCCATCAGCATTCTTGGATAGGACCCAAACCATTCTCTGACGACATTACTACGGTGGACATTTTCCCAGACAATGGCTAAAATTGGCAAGCCATTTCTCAACAAACCTCACAAAGTTATTCTCAGGGATGAGCCATGTAGAGGGTGTCAGGGAAAGTCAGCAGGTGTTGGGTGTTGTATGGCCCAATGATGGGAATATGTGTACACATCATTTTGTTCCCACCACGCTGGCCTGACACATCCACCGTGGCTCGCTGGCCTATGATGTTTTGGCCATGTCTCCTGCCTTTTGCCAATTTGAAACCAGCCTCATCGACAGATACAACTATGGGGGATTTAATTTCCTTCCAGGTGCATTATTCTCTACTAAAAACAGGAGCAGCGGCAACAACAACAACAAAAAAATCAAATATTCTGTAGAATCTTACAATTACAGCAAGCTTGCTCTGTGTTCTTCTCTGTAACTACAGTAGGTATATGGGCCATAATGAAAGGAAATGACACTATACAATATAGAGTGGGTGCTTTACTTGTACATACCCGTACCGGTATCGGCGAAGGTGCTATTGTAAAATTGCAGTCTGGATCTTTATGGCATTATTTACAGTAACTAAATTGCAGATCTCCTGTTCCTGCTGAGGCGTAAAGAGTGCTTTTCTGCCACCACCATGAGGTTGTCATATCGTCCTATATATTGAAAGAGAGAATATCACATTTATTGTACTGTACTGTACTGAAGCATTACTGCAATTGGAATATCATGAAGAATTACAGTATTGCACGATTACATACTATTTTCTCCGGCAAAATGTTTGGATGATGGATGACACTGTGGACTGGTCTACGTTTGGCTGCACCCAGGCAGCCAGCTTCTGCCACTGTAAGGCCATGATTAATTACATGGTCCACAAGTGTGGCCCATATTTCATCTGGGATACATGTATGTCTTTGGAGTCTTCTCCTTGCTACACCACCACGCATCCTTACTTCTCATCCTAATCCATGAGCAGGCTGTTGCCCCTGTACAATATTTATCTGAGCAGTATCCTCCATGTTCACAAATTGTATTAAGTGTGTTTTGCTCAAGCTTGTTTTAGAATTAGTATTAGTACAGGTGTAGTCTGTTCACCCACAAGTCTGTTAGATAACTGCACAGCATGTGCCATTGTTTGATGTAAGAACTAAGAACAATGCAATTTATGAAATGTGATTTTGACAATTAGATGGACTACTCTGCATGTGATGACTTACACCATGAAATAATTCTAACATATTTTGGAGAGTAAAGACACTCAACTGAAAGGAAATAAAATCTATTTTGATCAGTATATAACCAATTTTCAAATTGTAGACAATTGTGTGTAGTCATTTGCCTAAATGTGCTAAAACATTTACAAATGGTAAGAAAGAATAAGAAATGTTTTTTCTGTTGTGCAGAAGTAATAAAATGTTACTATACTGTTTTGACGACTTGAGCTTTCTCCTGTTTCTTAGTACTATAAACATATGGTCCTATTCTTACTTATTTTGTTAGTGTATCAAAATGTTCACAGTGTTTTTAGCTGTGCCAGCTGTATGGCTTTATGGATGGCAATGTCGGTCTGTCTGTCTGTCTGTAGTCTACAACTTTGATCCAGATCGAATTATCTCAACAACTATTGGATGGGTTGCAGTGAAATTTCATACAGACATTCATATTCCCTGGAGGATGTATCCTAATCACTTTGGTCCCCCTAGAACAATCCCCTGACTTTTTCTCTAGCACCATCTTGAGGTTGACATTTTGGTTTTGAGTGAAGTGTCTCAACAACTATTGGATAAATTGCAGTGAAATTGAACAGTGAACATGTACAAGTGTCTTCCTCAGGATGATTTTAAATAACTTTGGTGATCCATCAGCTTTCCCTCTAGTTCCATAATCAGTTCAGATTTTATATTTGTTCAATTCTTTCCCCCATCAGCCTCAGCTGTACTTTGTGCGTAGCACTAATTAGCTAATGTTAGCATGCTAATATGTTAAAATAAGATGATGAACATGATAAACATTTTACCGCTCAAGGTCAGCATGTTAGCATTGTCATTGTGGGCATTTTAGCTTGTTGAAGTGAGCAATTAGCTCATAGCACTGCTAAGTACAGCCTGACACAGCAGCTCGCATGGCTGTAGACTCTCATGTTTGTTCTGAAAGCAGCAACACTAGCCAAGGCCTTTTATTATTTCTCTGCTTCCCCAATCTTTCACACTGTTTAAATCTAGTCATCGTTTCTCCTCCGTACTCCTCTCTCTTCTCTTCCCTCCATGTTTTGCAGTCACCCTATAGCCAGAGGGCAAAATCACACAACCAGAAAGCCAGTGAGGAAGCTTATTAAACATGACACTCACTGAGCACACTCAATATAGGCGAAGGCCATGGGCTCTGAGGTCTACGTGCCAATTAGGAAAATCTGATCAATCATACCAGTCAATCTGAGCTCTCGCTCACTCTAACTCTCTCTCTCTGTATTTTCCTCCTCTATTTTTGCTTTCTTGCACATATCTAGTCTATTCCCCATCCCTCTCGTCTACTTTGAAAATACTTCCCAGCTATACACACCAGCACTGCTGTTGCACACAATCACGCACAACTTGTTACAAAATAAACAGGGAATAAAAAGTCGCTGTCTACACACACACACACACACACACACACTCCAGCAAGCTATTCATCACAATTTAGCTAGGCATTAGACATTGAGGGACAATAACACCCTGTCTAGAATAGCATCTAAAGCACAAACAGCTACAGACTTCTCCTCCCATGACACTCATATTTCCCCTCCATTTGTCAACACACTCTCTCACACTTTTTAATTCCCAATAAGATATGTCTGTCATCCTTCTTTTTTTCTTTAAAAACTAGGCTATGCCATTCAAGTAAGTTTAAAGAGAACATCAATCACAATCAGCTGAGTATTTGATCTATTTATATATATTTTGTACTTTTTAAAATGTTTTTTCTGAAGTTATACATTTCTTTTTAGCTCTTTTTATTGGTGTTTAAAAAGATATTTATGATCAATGTCATGACACTGCCAGTAGGCAATGGTAAAACTGCACCTCCTGTAATGTTATGTGTAAAAGTTGCCTTAATTTAGTTTTCTTGTTAATGTAACCACTCTATTATAAAAAGTACTGTATCATCTCTTAAAACGTCTACAAAGAAATATGATTTTTGTTTGTTTTTGAGCACTGACAGCTACACCAGCATGCAGAGATTTTGCACTCTTTTCTGTAAATATAGTGAGACGTACAAATTCTACATTGCTAGGGGAGATGGAGCTCAGTAAAGATTTTTTGTATTTGTCTGTCATCTTAACTTCACCTGAGTCCTCTCCACCTTCTTTCTCATCAATCCACTGATGGAGTGCTGTAGGAAAAGTGTCTTCTTAAGGTCTTGTCAAAAGCTTGTTAAGAGGTGGTAATAAGCTTGCTAGACTGGTGATGATGAAAAAGAGAGATCTGCTCACAAGATCTAATTTCAGAGCCAGCGACTAGAATGCTGTAGGCAGACTTGTTTTGTGTGCATAAAGTATTAAAGTGCACTAGCACCACCTATAGACAAGCTGTGTACATATGAACCATCACATTTATCTGAACATCTACAGTAAAAATATGTGTGCACAACTAAACTATATGAGGTTCTATGATATACAAATAATGGATTTTATCATTAAATATCATATGTGCATGAAAGTTGATCCTTTACATTGGAAACAGTAGTTTGACAAAATAATCCGCATCTCACAGTCGGTCAGCAGACAGAGTGAGGTGTGGTTGAAAGCTCATAAAAGCTAGAAATTGGATCTTGAGTTTAAGATTATTTTGTCATAGCACATAGTTTGAGGATGATGATGCATCATAGGTAGAGATTTATTTTTGTTAAATGTACTGTAGCATCTCTCCTCTTAACATTCACACTTGACAGGTGATGTGGTTTAAGACTTTTATTTTTAAAATCACAAAAATACAGTTAATATAGTCTTTGGATTTAGCACTAACTTTGCTGTCCAAGTTGTGATTCTCACTTTCACCCAGCAGATGGCACCACAACTAAGAACAGAACGTGTACAGTAAGTATTATGCTTTTAATATTAATACTTATATTGTATTGGCAGCCAGCCTTGTTCAGGTTCACACTCACCTGTCATCAAGACTAATTGCAGGTGTTTTGTCGGTTTGTATATACAGAGCACAAATATCCTAGGAGCGACCCTCCCCTGTTTGATGCTAAGTGTCAAAATATTTAAGTAACTTAACCCCCTATGAGTTCTGGACATGACTTAAACTCTTTTGGCCATGTGACTGTTGAGTCACCTCAAATGACTGTCAATGATTGGAAGAATGTTTGAGTAAAATGCAATAGTGACAAGAGCCACCATATGAGAGAGCCTGTAACCCCAAAAGCTGTAACCTCAAATAAAATAAAATAAACATAAGAGAGACATTAAAAACACAAACATTTATTTGACCACATATAAAACAGACAGGAACTGAGACATGATGGAATGGGTGGAAAAAACAATGCTGAAGCCAGATCCCAAACTTCTTCCATGATGGTGTCCAAGGGCAGAAAAGAAGCTGCTGTGTGCAAATGATGACTGTATTCCCATATCCCACATTAAATATCAAGTTCAGCCTTGACTTAAAAAGGTGTGGTGGGAAAATGTGGGTAGTGCAAAACACAGGTATGTCATTTCTTCTCCACAGTCACAGACTTGTAGCACATTCCGGATCCAGCAGCTTTACAGAGAAGACCAGCAGCGTTCATCCACACCACACAACCGCAAAACCTGCCAGACAAAGAGGATTACAATTAGAAACTATTCACTACGGGAATGATGACAGAAGCGAATATCGGTTTAATTACCGGTGTAATTATAAGCAATAACGGTGTTCAGAAGCATATCCTCACAAAGACATGCCAAACTTTTGAAGCCTTCATGACAGACTGACTAACAAGTTTCCTATCATTATTGGGCGTAACAAATTATGCTTGTGAGAAACCAGCGTAATTTAGGGCAGCACGTTCAGCTAAAGGCCAACATCCAAGGTTTTTGTCCTAACTCTTTAGAAACAGACAAGTCAAGAAGGCTTAAGTAGGCCTAACTAAGATTTACCCAACGTAGCAAGACAACTTTCACGTTACCATTCAAGATAAATCCAGCTTCTTCTGAGTTTCTGCCAGTTTCTCTTGTAGCCGTTTCTTCCTCCAGTCCAGAAACCTTCTCCTCATTCTGTTAGCCTGCCACCCCGCCAGGAAGCCGGCAGCGAAAGAAACCACGACCGCGACTTGTAGCGTCCTCTCCGAGACTTCTGCCATGTTCACCTCTGGCTGACAGATGCACACATTTGTGTCAGCCGCATGAAAATACTACAGGAAGTGAAACGCTCCTATTCACGCGATATTACAGCAACGTTAATCTCGCACGCTCCAAAATAAAGGTCCGGAAACCCTCTCTAGAAAACCGGGGTGAAGTTAGTTTAATATTCAACATTCGTCGGTTTTCGTGCCTGTTACATTCAATAGGATCGGTGTCAAAATCTCCATTTCTCCCAGTTTTTGGGATATATTGGAGAGCTAATTCAGGCAGAAGTTTCACAGCTGTGATCAATAAAATGAGAATCCCTTAACTCCAATATCAGGGACACAATGCCTGAAATATGTACCTTTTGACATTGTAATTTCAATATCTTGCTCATTTGTGATCAAATCACCTCTCATCTCTCCAGCACATCCTCTCACAACTTTCACACCTGTAAGATTTTGACACCGAGCTATTGAATGTAACAGGCGTGAAAACCGACGAGTGTTGAATATTAAACTAGCTTCACCCCGGTCTTGAGAAAGAATAGGCCTATAATTAATTGAATATATTTTAATATATAGGTTCATAACATTGATTGAACTTAAGGTGCAGAATTTAGTAGGGGCGGTAAGAACATGTCCCTATCAATATCCAGTCCTACTTAATTGTCCCTTGCAATAATTTTGATCAAAACAATGAAATATAGGCTAACCACTGTTGTCAATCTAGTCAATGTATTTGGTACACAAACGGTTAACAGCTCTTGTTTTCTTCTACAAGTACAACGTTTTGCCCCCTCGTATGCCACACAGTGGCTGCCTACCTTTTTCAGACCCTCAGACAGCTGGTAGGTGATTTTCGGGGGGTGAGAGGGGCTGGCGCTATCCGTGGTGCTGGAGACCAGAGAGATTTTTTTTTTGCTTGTTTACCTTTTTACTCTCAGTCCCGCCCTTCTGTCATGACAATAATAGCCTATGCTCTAAACTATATACTATAAATACTCAATAGCCTAATAGGCCTACTATATTGTAGCCTATAGTGCCTGGCTACTCTATTAAATAGTGTCACCTTCGTGATCTAAATAGCAGCTGTAGTCGCAAGAATATCATAGAGACACAGAGCTGCCTGTTGTATGCCTATTCGTATTTAAGTTTGAAAAGATTATGTTTTCCCACCTTGCATGCCACACTGGTTTGGTCTGCTGCCTACCTTTTTTAGGCCCTTGGCGACTTCATTTCTAAAAATCTCCTGTCAGGAGTTGTTTTTAACAACAATGACATGAAGTATCTGCACTAGGAATTAAGACATACAACTTCTAATATAGACTACTACTACTACTAATAATAATAATAATAAGTCGGACTTCGTTGAACAAGAAGGTTTATTTTGTCTGGAAAAAGTATGCTTTAAAAAACATTATATTAAAAAGAAAAGAAAGGTCATTAGGGAGTCAAAATGTATTAAATATGGCTCACAGGTGTGATAAAGATTTGTGGAAATTTCTAGTTTGTGGAAACGGCTCCCAATAGCCCAATAGTCCAAAATACCTTTCCCAATTTATTGGGAAAGGTATTTTGGGAAATAAAATGTGGAAGTTTGATGTAGCCTAAAGCTCCCTAGGGCTCAAGACAATCATGAAATGCAGAATGCATACATAGAGATACATGCTGTACTCACATAAGCCTGTGGCACTGACTTTAACACATTTGAGCGAAACACATAAAACACAAAATATTAAAGTGAGTAACAAGTAATGTACAGTAAGTTCTAAAAAAAGAAAAAAAGCGTTGTATTTAAAAACAAGTTGTACATGTTTGTCATTTACTACATGGGATTGATCATTAATGTGTTTTCCAGTTCTTGTTTTTTTACAGTTCTATATGACAAAACTGAATTAATGCTTGAAACATTTTATTTAATAGTTTTTCACTTTTTTCTATTTGGAGATGAACTACCGCTTTATCATTAGGCAGAATAAAACATGAAGCATTTAAATTCAAAATGAGGAGGTATTGCGTGAGAAGAATGTAAACTGTAGATTTATCAGAGAGTCAGACAGAGATATCGATGAAGTGTATGAGGTGAGAGATTAAGTTGTTAAGTGTTGTGGTTGTAGTGGCAGTAACGGTTTCAGTGAGCACCAAGTTGTACAAGTTTGCTACAAGTTGCTTTCTCTCACACCAGGTTGCAATCCCAAGTGAAACAAACGCCTCACTAGGCAGGTTGCAAAGTGGCCTGCTACTCTACAAGTGCCATGTAACATGATATACATGAAAGACACCCCAATGTCTGTATGTCTCCTTTCCTTCCTGTCATTATGAGCGCTGTGTGATTACATGCGCCTCGGAGTGGTGTAACGCCTCACTGTTGTGCTGTGCTGTGGTTTGTGGTGAAACTAAATGTTCATGTTAGCAAATCACTTTGTTTCACTTTGTGTCGAATACATCACTTGTTTGTTAATGCTGTTATCCGTGTTTTAATATTAAGACAAAGACTTAATACAAAATTAAATGGATTAGAGAAAGGGAAAGTCTCTCCCTCGAGTCAGGATTTCTCACTTATATTAAGAATAATTCCTCTTAATTTGGATTTACTCAAAAGCGGCTGACACAAGCTCAAGGTCAAAGTGAAAAGATTTCAAAACTTGCTGAAGAGTTTGAGAGATCAGTTGTTAGTTACAGTTTGTGTCTAGGAATGATACCTGGGTCAACATTATCATCAGTTTACAACAAAACTAACTAAAAAACTATTATTTTCAAACTGCAGCAGCATTGTACCAAAACCTAAAGACTCGAGGAAAAGCACCATCCACGTTTGTTAAGCTCCCTGTCTCTGTGGGTCGTCTGAGGTGTTGATACGGTGTCTATAATTAAGATCTGCACAAATACATGCTGTTGAGAGTCAGATGTTGTAAGCTGTGTGAAGATTGCAGAGTGGACGTCAATACAGGCCACGCTTCGATATGCAGTAGCTGCCATATGAGTGGAGTCTAACTATTTATAATCTAAAGCCATTCAGATACCCAGTAAACAATGATGGTGATGAAATAATTCCTTCAGCCGCAAATAATCTCAATATGTACAGTCAACATGTCCAATTTGTCAACAAAATGTTGTGCAGATGAAGTAAAAGCCATTAAGTGCACAATCTGGATCCAAAGGCATTCATGATGTATTGCTGATGGTTGAGAAGGTTTGAGAGAATCCGCACTGGTACAGTTTTAGTGAAAGGTGATCAGGGGTTTGGCTCCTCTGCAGTAAATCACAAACGATTCTGTTTAAGCCTGTCAATGTGGTAACAGAGTTTGAGCGCAGGTCCCAGCTTGAGTCCCAGATACTTCATCATCATCTCACTTTTCAGCAAGAGCAGAGCATCTCCGTCTATCTCCTGAAACACATCACAGAACTGTATGACTCAGAGGATACACACTTTTCACCTGTCTGCGCAGATAACTTTATGCATACAATACTTCAATATTTACAACAACGCTTTAAATCCTGCACCTGTAGCATACTAACCACTTCAATAAATAATAAATTAAAGTAAGTCCAAACAAGAAGTTATAAAATTTGAAAATGTAAAATAACAGAACAGCTAAAAGAAAAACGAAGATACTAAAAGCAACAAGTTTTATATATATAATAAAGCCTCATACCAACCCTTTTATCCTGTGCTCAGGCTCAGAGCCTTGTGGCTATGATAAGAAAAGCCTGGTCACTTTAAATATTAATCCACAGACCTGCCTGAGGATGAGAGGCAGCACAGTAGTTTATGGGGACCTTAAGGGCTTATAATATAGCTTGGAGCCAGACCCCTCTATGCTTTAAAAATGCTTTAATAGTCATAATTTGGCTTCCATATCTGATTTACATTCAGGACCGCAGGGATGGATAAATAGAGCCACACTTGTCTCATAACAGATATTTAATTTAAAGTGGACCCTACCTCTTGCAATGGGTTTAACCCCAATGTATGATGGGATGTATGTATTTATCTTTTTAATTTAAAAGGGACTATGTGATGCACCGTACCAGATTATAGCTTTAAGCTAATTTACCAAGACCCTTGGCAGGTCAAAACAAGAGACAGCATGATAACACAATACAAAGGTATACGAAAAAAGAACACACAAGACACGCAATACAAAGCTACACACAATAGCACACAAATCAAATGTAACCAAAAATGTATGCTTGTCAAATAAAGGCAAGTCATGAAGACCATAAAATAGAATTCAAGGTCAGTGAGTACAGAGCTGAGCAGCTTTTAACAGACCTATAGAGCTGCAGCTCTTCACATTGTTAGGCAGGATGATTTGTGGCTTTTGCAGTAAAAGCTGATTGCCCAAATTTGCAACATGGTGAAATGTAGTTTTTAGAGTTTGTTTGTAAATGAACTGTTGGCTGTGTCCAGAGAGAGACCGCTTCAAATGTTTTCCAAGTTGTCCTTTATGTTTTTAACCATGTTTTTAATGTTTCAAATTTCGATCTAGGATCACGGCAAGATATTTAAAATCAGTCCTTTCAACTTTGATGAGAAGATCAGCGTTAAAAGGTTTTAGAAATAAACATACCTTTTGTCTTGTTAACATTTAGACTCAGACATGATTGATCACGTCAACGTGTGATCATTTCCAACTTTCAGCTTTAACATTAAACTGTTGAGGGAGAGTGTTAAAATATAGGCTAAATAAAAGGAGGCCTAACATTGATCCTTGTGGAACACCTATTTTATAGTTCATGTTACTGGACAGTGCGTCACAAACTTGAACACATTGCATGCTGATAGATAAATATGAAGATATCCATGCCAGTTCCAGTGTTTCCCCTATATGCAATCATGACCGCCTACTAAAATTTCCCACGATAATTAAACTATGCGCTACAAATGTTTTCACTCGCACACTGTGGGAGCATGGCACCACTCAATGCTTGGCTTGCTTCCTCTCATCGTTCTATACAAAACATCTACGTGACAGATGCTGTTATAACAGCGTAACTCCTGTAAGGAATCAGGAGGTGCGTAACGAGTGTTTGATTGTCCGAGCGGCAGAAAGTGACGGTGAACGCGAGCGGAGG